ATAACGGCTTACAAAATACTAAGTAACCCGAGTCACCCGAACAGTGGAATCCTACTGAACGGTCACTATGGCGATCCTCGTGGTAACCCAAGGAGAATCACCCACCAAAGAGCGAAAACCCATGTGCCATCACACTTCTCTTTGTGAGTTTGCAGCCGCTGGGACGCATCGCCTGCCGAGATTGCTACTGCTTCATCTGTTGACAGCTTCAAGAAGAGGTTGGACAGTTACGCAGCAACGCACGGTTTGCGGTCATGCAACTGGGATGTGGATTAGGCTGACACGACTTACTAACTCGGTGTGATCGGCCGTTACTGAACACTTTGTAAAACCACTATCACTGAGAACTTGGCTGAACCCGTGGACGTCTTCTCCAGTTACCGTCTCCTACTACATTCTCATTCGTCCTATCATGTTATTTATTATTCTTCCTTCTGACTTTACGCTCTCAAACTTTAATAAAGGCTCTCCGTATCACCTGTTTTCCTATGAACCTGTCAATGCTTCTTCTTCCGTGCCGCTTCCTTTTCCCTGATCTTTTATATATTATTCTTCCTCCCTCTTTTCTTTTTCTGTTTTGTCTCTCTCCACACTTTCCTTTGATTTCTCTGCACATATTTTCCATCTCCTTTTTACAACCAGTCCGACAAATTGTGTGCCGGCACGACATTTGAGGAACCCATCTGCACCACAGTCCTCGGAAGAGGAAGCAAACAAACAAACAACACTCCCTACAAATCTAACCAACACCCAACCGCCAGTCGGGCTAGCCAGAGCTACAGCAGCCTGGCGGGTAGACCTACTGCATTGGAATCCACCAAGACCTGGAACCGTCCCGCAAGACCTAGAAGCGAGCGCGAAGAAATCAATTGGTTTGCACTAGCTCATTAAAAGATATTGGATATTAGAATATTGAAAGCGTGCTATTTTTCTCTAAACAGTATGTTTAGCATACAGGTTACCCGTTCTACATAAGTGCTAGTGTAAGTAACTGCATTTTCCCGACCATTGGCCTGCGAATTATTTTCAAAAGTATGGACATTCCAGCTGTTTGGCTGCGTAGAGATACCATCAAGACGTAAATAACTTCTTGTACAGGTTTCTTACTCTACCTACCATGGATACAATTATATGTTTGTCTTTGTTCGGCAGCTTAACAACAGTAATATGTCGTTCAAGGGATTTTAAAATCACCCGTCAGTGGGAAACCTTGTCAGATCCTGCCAGGTTCTTCCGTCTGCCAGGCGAACGATTTGCATATCTGCATGAAAGTCAAGTCAGACATCCAAACAGCAGACAGCTTTATCAATAAGTAATCGTTGAATAAAAACCGTATATCCTCAGTTTAAATTTTCGCGGGAGTCACCGGTCCATATGGACTCTAAGGACATCATAATACGAATTCATATTCTTTACTCTAAAGATGATAAGTGCCGGTCCTAATGAAAGGAAACCGGTAACATACCAGATAAACGGGGGGCTATAGGAATGTCAAATGTGAGTGAATTATAAAAACATACAGCAAAACACTGAACTATAAAAAGACGGCGTGGAACTTGGCGTAGCATTGCGAAATCGCGAATTTGTTGATGCAATTTTTTTCCAATGTCCCCTCCTTTCACCCTGTTCTGTAGTGTCGTGTCCCATAGTATGTTTGTTTAAGTGATCGATGAGAACGATGTTCGAAATAGGATACTGAACATCATCTCACAGTTTTCACAAGTCAACTCTTTTTTAATCGTCCTGGACCTCCAACATAATCATTGTGCTCCCCATTTACCACTGTAGTCTGGGTCCAAGTAGATTATGTCTCATGAAGCTATTGATAGTGTGAGTTAATGAAATTTATTCTGTTTATTTTTCTCTCAGGTTCCTATTGGAACATAGAGCTTCAGTAGCACGTCTCCATTGCATTCTCTTCTTTGTAGTCTCTTGAACCTGGCTCCACGACTGCCCAGAAGCTTTCATTTCTTACTCACATGATCTTCTCCATGTCACCCTCGGATACCCAACTCGTCGTTTCCCCTTTACGTTCCACTCGAGGGACTGAAGCATGATGTCTCCGAATGGTCTTCTTCGTGCATGCCCAATCCAACTCCACTTCCTTCCGCATATTTTTTGAGTGATAGCTTCTTGGTTGGTTCGTTGCAAGCCAGCCAGCCAGCCAGAGTTCCTTGTTCCTTATTCTTATTATTCTGGCCATCTGATCTTCAGTAACCAGCCAGCGTGGGCAGTTGTTGATGAATGTCTGTAGTTTGTTGGAAATCCCTTTCGTAACGCGCCAAGTAGCTCAACCATACAGGAGCACTGATTTCACGTTGGTATTGAAAATCCGGATCTTCTTCTTTGTGCCGATTGCAGTAGATTTCCTCACTGATTTCAGGTTAATGAACGCCTGTCTTGCTTTTCCGATCCTGACTTTGACATCCTCATCTGTGTCACCTGTAGTTGAAACAGTGCTGCCTAGATAGGTGGAAAAGCCTACTTCCCTCAGATTTCTCCCGTTAATGATGACTGGCGCCTCTTGTTGTTGATGCTGGTGTTGGTTGAGTATCTTCATGACCTGCGTCTTTTCTACATTCACTTGAAGGAAGTCCCGTCCTCACTGATCTGCCTCCTCCGTCAACTTGTTAGTTTTCGACCGTAGATCTTCGAGTTTGTGCGGCGTTAAACATAAATCATCGGCGAAATCCAAATAATGTAGGGTCTTTTCATCGGGCCAGCTAACGTATCCCCCTCTTCTCGCTCCTCACTGTTTGTTGCATGATCCAGTCTACCACAATCAGGAAGATCATCAGTGATATCAGACAGTCTTGTCTTACTCCTGTCTTCACTCCAAAGGCGTCGCTGAGCTTCCCATTGTATATCACTTGGCATGTGGCGTCTACATATAGCTGTTAAATAAGCTTGATAAAGATTTGTGGCACTCCGTAGTGTTCAAGCAGTTGACAAATCGCTTCTCGGTCGACGCTGTAGAAGGCCTTTTCAAAGTCGACGAAGTTGGGGCAGAGACTGGACTGTCATTCTATACTCTGTTCTATGATGATGCGTAGTGAAGCGTTGGAATTTCATCCCCACATGATCCGTTCTCCCTGAAGTCAACCAGCCTGTTCCGGTCGTAATTTTGAATCCAGAGCATATTTTAGTCTCTCCAGGATGATGCGGCACTATATTTTGCTTGGGATTAACAGCAGCATGATTCCACGCCAGTTCTTGCAAACACTTAGGTCTCCCTTCTTTTGGAGTTTCACAAGGTAACCTTTCTTCCAATCTGCAGGTACCTTTCCTTCCTTAAGAAACCTTCTGCAATAGTGGTGTAGGCATGTCCGCTGCGTTTGTTTTCAGTGCTTCTGGTGGAATTTCATCTGGTCCTGCTGCTTTCCCGGATTTCAGTAACTTTATAGACTTCGAAACTTCACTCCTGATTTTGTCGGAGAGCCTGTGTTCACCTGTACTTCTGCCGTTGCTGGTAATACTTCCGGACGAGTTGCAGATGGTGGTCGATTCAAGAGCTTTTTCAAGTGATCAGCCCATTGTTTCCTTTGTTTCTATTCTTTGGTAATTAGATTTCCTCTATCATCTTTTATTGGTTTCACGTGTGTTGATCTCCGCCCAGATCGTCACCTGGTTATTTGATACAATGTTGTCAGGTCTCTCCTACCAGTAGCCTGTTCTGCTTCACTTGCCAGTGTGTCGTAGAAGTGTCATCTGTCTTTGCGCGCACTCTTCTTCACTTCTTTCTCCAGTGTAGTGTTTTATACGTTGTACTCAGTTCCTCTTTTCCTTGTTCATCCTTGCACTGGTTCATCTCCTGCTTCACCATCTTCCTCTCCCTCCTCTATCAGCTTCCATGTGTCCGTTGAGATCCATCCCTTGTCTTGTTTCCTCTTCCTTCCTAATACGGTTATGCAGGTTTCTTTTCACATCCCTTTCAAAGAGTTCCACTGTTCATCCAACACACAGGTTTCTTCAGGGATGTTGCTCAACATCTCTCACTTTTTTCTCATAACTGACTGACGTGAAGATGTCCTTTGTAGTTTCGTCCTTCAGTTCCTGTTCTGGGTATTGAACTTGAACTGTGGTCTATCACCAACTTCCTTGCACTAGATAGCAGTGTAAACCTACATCTGCTCCTCTTCTTCATCTTGTGTCCAGTAGACTGCCTATCCACTTTCTTCAGATTGAGATGAAGTCGATCTGGTTTTTGGTGTGTCCATCTGGTGGAGTTCATGTCTCTTTGTGGATATCCTTGTGTTTGTACACACTGCCTCCAATCACCAAATCGTTGAATGCACAGAATTCTGCAAACAATTCTCCATTCTTGTTCATTTCACCGAGTGCTTCTCGACCCATGCTTAGTTCTCTTCCTGTGTTGTCCCCTCCCAGTTTCGTATTCATATCGCCCATTAGAATTTTGATGTTTCCAACTGCGGTGGAGTCTTGTCTAGTACTAATCGCATATTTCTCTGTAGAATTCCACTTCCTTCTCTTGATCTACATTATTTGTACGTGTGTAGTGTAGCATTGAGTGATTGTGACTTTCCTTCCTTTTGAGTCGAATCTCTCTGTCATGATCCTGATCGTGGAGGTTATTGGTTCCCACTGCATAAGAGCCTTCCATGCTCCTGGGGACATCATGATAGCCACTGGAAAACTCACTGTGTTCGTGGTTGTCGTTTGAGTGACAATATCGGAGTAGATTATTGACTCTCCAGTTGAGAGTTTGGAGAGTCCACTTCCATTCCATCTGCTTTCGCAGATTCCAGGCTATTCCATTCCATACCTTCTCATCTATTTTTCAATTTGGGCAGCCCTGCCAGGGTTATACATGGTGCAGACATCCCATGTCCCCACGTTTACTTTCTCTTTCATCGAGAGAGGGGTGACACATCGGCCAATTGGCTTCCTGGAGGCTTTCACCAACCAGCGTCATTTCGTCTCTCCGATTCCAGCGAGGAATAATTTTGTTTTTATTTTTAATATTTTGTTTGTGCTTTGAAGTTTCTGTAGCGGTTGATTTGTTTTCCGGGGTAGGGTTGCTAGCCCTATGCCCAACCTTCCCTCTTTACCTGGGCTCAGGAGTGAGTAGTAACCAGTGTAGTAGTTAGCCAGATGACGTTGATTTGATAAAGTTCTTACTTTTTTTCAAATTACGGGCCTAGATTCGAAACTGACAGATATCTCTGTTCTTATGTTTTGCCTTGTTCATCGATCGTGTTGTTTGTGCATAGGACCGTGGTGTTATTTGGTGATGGTATCGTAGTATCACAACATCTTTAGTCACAATAGTGCCAATTTTAAAAGTGTAGTATGTGTACTCCAATAATCTATTTCGAACCGTGATATCAATTAACACAAGATCCCACTAAACTGGTTTACGTAGATCAGAAGAACAGTCAGATTTCACGGGGTGGCATCATCACTTAGTCTGGTCACCCTTAGCTTTTTTGTTTTTTTCTTGCAGCAGTGGGTAGTCTTTGGAGAGAAAAGCAATGAGTTGTGTAATTAGCATCCTAACCACTTCAATCGGTACATGCTCACAACCTCTTTAAGTAGTTAACCTTCACCCAGTACTCTATGTCAAACGTAACTATTTCTGTCACCACTCATGAGACGTTTATGCTGGAGTTTTTATAGCTTCGTCGGTTATCGAATCATTTTTCACAGCTGTAAAGTAGAACGGAGCAGACTGAAACTTCTGATGCTCATATAATTCTAGCAAACATGTAGTTCAATGCCTTGCGTAATTCTCTCTACAAAAAATCACAACGATTGTGCAAAAAGAATGAAACCTAGTGATCAAAAGATGCTGTGCAATATAACCAATAGTTTCATCTGGAAATAACCATAAGCTGTTTCAAGTATTTGGAGATATCGGTAGCCAAAGACTTGGAATAAGTGTAATGGTCTGTGAATTTGACAGTATAACGACTAACATTCTCCAAATACACCTTAAACAGAGTGAAGCGCTTTTAAGGCAGTTTGACTTACCTCTTGCTGCAGCAATCAACTCTCTGATGCACTTTGCTTCGTGGCTCGTTACCATCGAGTCACTTAACTCAGCGGATTTCCAGGGGGAAAAATTCAAGTACTGCAGCAATACAATGAACTCAGCCCAGACAACACACCCGTAGCTCTTTTGAGGCTGGAAAAAGGCCCGAGGTGGCCAGACTAAAACATGGCACCAATGTATGAAGTCTCTGACTGTTGGTTTAAGCCATGTAGGACAATGCAGACTAGGTGGTTGGGGTCCACAGGACAAGAGGAACCAGTGGTTGGAGACCCTAGGTGATATGGCTCAGAACCGAAGTCAGTGGCGCAGATGTATACACACATTATCCTCATCTTAACGCTATACCGAATCTCACCATTTTGTCACTCTTCTTTCCTTTCTTCTCGTACTTTATATTTCTCGACTGCATTCACTTATCTTCATCATTCGCCTCACTACCTTTTTACTTGATGTGCTGATATGAGGTGTGGCAACTCGGACCGTTACTCAGTAATGCCTGGTCCTATGTTGATAATGATGATGAGCTCTTTTGAGGATAAGAACGAGACTACAGCCAGGGGACTCAGTAGGTTTTGAGATTGTATAGCACAATGCGAGCGTTCCATTATCTTGAGACGAAGCTACTACTTTACACATCTTTGAAAATGCCTGCGTAATTCATTTTATAGGCATTGGGTTATAAATCTGCATCTATTTTTGTCTAGAATGATAACTACTGTCGTATATCATAGATTTTGTATAATGCGTGAAAATCTGATGTGGTAGGCATTCCAGGTGTCGTACAAGTCGTAGACAGCCATCATGCACTCACCCTCTACCAAATGTTTGAACATCACACACTGTATGGGAAGAATGATGTGTATCCTGATATTTTATTGAAAAGCATTGAATTCTGGAAGTGTCCGGGTTGTCCCTGTAAGGTTTGTGGGCATCTTGGCAGCTCTATGCAAAGAAAACATGAAGTGACGTCATACAACCATCTCTCTCTGAAGTTCTGACGCAGCAAAAAGGTTATGCTGGTTTACTCTCTTTTGACACCTTTATTTTCAGAGATTCAAAAGAGGTAGTGGTTTAGACTTGGTAGTCAAGTACGAATTACTTGTTCTTGAGTATGCCAACAGTGTCGAGTTACCGTGCGACAATACAAGCGATACTCAAATCGTATTTATTCATTTGGTTGTCAGCGTTCATAAGTATATCACTTGTTTTGTGCTGTTGAAATACGAAGTATTTTCTTAAGACGAATGAACTTGCATCTACATTTAATAAATGAAATATATTTGTGGAATCTCAATGAGGTAGAAAAATAAATTTCCGAAGTTTCGCAACCTCATTGGGATTTTACTAATATATTTGATTCATAATCCATTTACCCAACGCTCAACTTATTCAGCTCACTCTACAGTTAACCGCTAGAAATTATCGCGTAGTTTAATTATCTTAGTAGATGTATGAGTATCGGTTAAGGTCCAGTTGGCAATTACTTCAGGTGCAAAAGTTCTGAAAACTCCAACTAGCGTCGGAAGTTTCCTAGACTATTCTTAACTAAATTCCTCATGAGATAGTAACATCAATTTCTAAAAGCACTGATAAATTTTTTACGGTGGACTTTGATACTAGATGACAGTTAATCAGTTATGACAAACACTTCATGCGCGCAACCGGAATACACTGCCGAAAACGCACACTAAGATGGGATTTATTTTGGGATGCAAACGTATATGTTTAGGATCTGGATATCTCTGCATTTAAGTGTTCAATATGTCTGGCATACTGTCAGGAAAATTTACCGAGCACGTGTTTACCGTGTGTTGTATAATATATGAGTAGCCTTCTTACAACTCTTTTGTAACGAAATATCTACAGAATTTTAAATTAAATGGCTCTTTCTGACTTGATGGTTTCTCTTCATCCAATCATTATTTTATCCCCCTTTTTTCCACATCCTAAAATTGTGATGCATTCCTTAGTGACAGTGTTGTATGGAATTTGTTTTAATAGGGTTAGTGATAAATAAACAAGAAACCTCCTCTGTGAAATTCATGGGACGGCAGTATTGGTTTTTTTTTTCTAGATAATTGATAATCAGCTGGAGACTTTTATTTCGAATAGAAAACCAAGTTATATTTTTACACACCAATTGGAAATACTGCATTGTAAAACTACAGTTATTCGTATTTTGTTCAACTAAACTGCCGAATACTTTCGATTATCATATCTTTCATTTGATGGTTCGTTACTTCCAGATTTGACAGTTAGTAAATGACACAGATTGCACAATCAGTATTTTAAACTGAAGCACAGTTATGGTAAGTACTTTCGTGACTAACAACGTTTTAAAGAACTCAAAAGAAAATGATGATGTTTTTAGGGATGCAATATCTACATGTGAGTTATTTGGTATTTACTATTTTCATTTATGGCAGCCGATATAGAAAAAGTGAAGTTGCTTCTGTCAGTTGATAAGTCCCTGATTAACTCTCAGGACAAAGTAAGAAATCGAATTTCTGAGTTTATTATCTCAACAGGAGGGCTTGTCCCCACTTCAGTTTGCTTGTTTTCGAGGAGCTCTACCAGTTGTTGAGTTTCTTTTAAAATGTGGTGCAAATGTTAATTCTACCTCTCACAAACAGGGTTATACTGCTTTAATGTTTGCTGCTCTTTCAGGTTAGCCAATTCGTTTCCATATCTCCGTAGGAAATACTGAAGTTGTCGAACTACTTCTACACCATGGAGCTCGAGTGAACGATGTAAATTCAATTGGAAGGACAGCTTCTCAAATGGCAGCGTTTGTGGGTAGGTGTTTCAGCCTATCAAGAATAATGCATAAGGAAATCATAACGTTGTTACGCTCATTAATAACTATATGGAAAGAGAAGAAATAAGCATTTACACTTCGAAGCACAACTTACCATGTGAATACGTACCTATGCTTCACCGACTAATTTTGCAGCTGAACATTTCACCTGTTAAGGTACGATGTCTCAACGTTGTATATAAATAATTACCATACCTTTAAAAACTAACGAATTTTTCGATGCATAGAGATGTATTCTTTCCTACATTATTTAGCACGGTTAACTCTAAGTATTTCCTTTATGTACACTCTTTAACCTCAGTTTTCTTATCTTGATACCGTTACCTTCGAAGTTCCATGACTTTGTTGAGAAAAATTGCCGATTTAACTCAGACCAGTGTACATAAAATGGTGCTTACTCATAAATCATTCTCCTACGTTTACATGAGCTAAATTTTGTGCTTTCTAATGTTCAAAGACTGGTTGAATCTTTTCTCGAGCTAGGGTAAAGAATAATTCAAAACTTCAATGCAACTCTGTTTTATAAATACAGCTTGTTGTGTCATGCTTACTAGATTTGATTAGGGGGGAGATGAGGTTGGTCAAGTGTACTCACTCTGTGTCTTCAAAGCGGAAAAACTTACCATTAATCCTTATTTGCTTTTCTGTATAAATCTTCTCTTTACATAATAATATTTCCCTGCCGTTGGACCCCTTTATTATCTTATTTGAGACTTATTTCATATATCCATCGTCTTCAAAAATATTCTTTCTCCTACGTTTTCGTAGCCTTCCGGATTTCACTTTGCTCTACAGAATAGATGTAACCAAAATGGCTGTGTAGCAAGAAAGTAGAATGAATTTCATGTTTTTAGATAATCCAGGAGGGCGTTTCTAGTGTTTTACCAACCTTCCTAGCTATGTGCACTAGTTAGGTAGTTGGTCCGTTGCAGCTGGTTAAAGTCTCCTAATACATTTCTCTTCTTAGTCTAAATATGCGGAAATAATTAAAAATTACGCTCCAAAGAAAAATTCTTGACTTTTGCCAAATTGCTCAGTCCTTTTACAAAATCTTAAATTTTATTTCAACTCTTACTTTTTACATTCACACACTACTTTATATGAACACTACAGTGTCTGATAATGCTTGTGGGACGCAGCTGCGTTGTTGAAACTGTACTTTCAGGTCGCCAAAAGTCTATGGCGATGTCCCACAGCAGATGTAGACATATGCAGTAATGCCAGGTTCTATGGTGATATTACCTGTCTATCTTTGAAGTAAAAAATCATCCCAGCTATAAGCCACTTTGGTAATTCACTACATCACTTATGAATTTCTTGAACTTCGGGGGATTTCGAATCATATGACCCGGTCTGCAGGTTTATCCCTTAAAACTCGAAAGTCCAAAAGTATCTTCTACTTAGTGTTTAAGCAAGAATATAGATCTGTGTCTGTAACCTTTTCATATGCCCACTTCTCATCACATGTAAAACTTAGTGTTTCTCATACCATTTCTCAATACAGGCGTCTCTACTTAGATTTTCTTTAAAACATGGTGGCATTATTCACAAAGTGTCTGATTCTTTTGATATCTTGATGAACTGTACTGAAACTCAGGTTACGTCCAGCGGCTTAACAAATAATCATACACCATGTATATTTAACTTTATTTTTTTCAAAAACATGCGATGTATCTATACAATTCAAACAGACAGATAATATAGACATATTACCTGGCATTTTTGCAAAGCAGTTTAGGTTTTCACACCTCATATCAGCACATGGTAACAAGGTAATAGAAAAGAACTCAGAAAATATTCAAAGTGATAAAAAGTTAACAAAATAGTGCAATGTGGAACGAGATGATACTGAAATTTATCATGATCATTAAGATGAAGATGATATGTGGATACATCTGCACCATTGAGATCATCTCTGAACTGTCACCTAAAGTTCCTAATTATTGATCTTAGTTGTCACGCGAAATGCAACCGGAGTCTACATTCCCTTACTTGACACAGACCAACAGTGAAGGACTTCATGAACTGATGCCATGCTTCAGTCTGGCCATTTGTCACCCTTTTCTAGCCTGAACGTACTGTAACAGACAGCTTGGGGTCAACAAATGGTGTATATGCATGTATAACATGCATCGCAGCCATCTGAGTTGATAAAGGTTCACAACCTCATCAATTAACTTAACTCTGCATTACTCAAGTGGTTACAGCACGACAGGGCCTTTACGACGAAAGCAACGGTGATCAAACGTCTGGAGCCTCCTCATGTCATCTACCCTTAATTGTCATGTTTCGCAACCATATGGTAGGACAGAGCGGACTGTAGCGCAGTACTCCGCGTCCTTAGCGATCGAACAGTTATCACAGCGGCATCGTAACTGGCGTAAGTTAGGGGTGGCCAATCGAGCCTTATGTATCTGTGCAGAGATTTCGTCGGTCACTGACCCACTAGGACTAATTTAACTTCCTAGGTAAGTGAAGTGGTCAACGTGCTGAACAATTTCACTCCCTATTGTTGAACAAGCCAGCCGCTAAGATCAGTCCTGGAGCGACAGTTTACATTTGGGGAGTGGTGTGAAATGCATCTCTAACATTCTCAACTTGCCGCTTAGGGTTTGTAGAGGGCTGCATCTCATCACCTAACAGGAAGAAATCATTTGCGTAATCCAGGCCTACTAAGAAGTCTCTTGTGACAGTCAGCTCTTGAAAAACCAGACAAGAGGCCAACCTTCATAAGTTTATGATTAGGTTGAATAAGAATAGAGAGAGTGCATATCCTTGACTGAGATTAATTCAGCTAACTCTATTTTAGTCCGTTTATTAGAAAAGTCATATCATGATATTAACATGGATAATAAATTATGCTCGAAATGTAAGTAATACCGCTTTACTGTATGACATTTCTAATGAAAAGACTAAAACGGAGTTACAATCTACGAGCACCCAAGTTTTACTCCTATATTACTTCAGTTGACACTATTCGGTAAGCAAAACTCATCACGGACTCTAACACATCCACGAGTGCTAAACTATAATTCCTGTGATAGAGTCATCAACTTACATGGCACCTCTTCCAGTATTGTCGTAGAACTTCGCGGTCGAGAGAGACAAATATCTCTTTCAGGTAGAGAAATACAGTGTAACTGTGCTCCACGATCTGGGAGAGGGTGGATATCTCGTCGATACACCCGCAATTCAGCTCAGTAACCGCATGGAGATGCATATGTCGAATAGTAAAAATTTGATGACAACCAGCTACACATATCTTGGCGGATGTAACAGCATTATTCCACAAATTAGTGTTTAAAAATTGAGTCCTTGCACAAGAGCCGAATCCATGTCACAACAAAGGTCTAGTATATGACTCAGTCACTTCAGCATCAATGAAAAAGATGTACATCAAGTTTCAAATATAAGAGCGTCATTTCTCATATTTCATGACATCGACTTTTTAAGGAGGTCCATTTACAACATTGACTAAAAAAAACCCAGTTTCCGCCTCAACGATGTTCAAATTTAACAGTCAAGCTATGCAAATTACTAAGGATTCTAAGGGTAATTACTTTCAAGTTCTACATCATACACCACGCAACAAGTGTGGCTCATAGCCTAGTTCATGTAACTGCACATTGTCGCTGAGTTGTATTATTTATTATTATTGGATAGTCACGTTAAATTTGGGTTGTAGGTGTTCCTACTGTTCAATGACGAAAATGATATCCATCATCAAGCGGAAGAAAATAATATGCTAGCACACTGGCGTTTCATCCGTACCATTTTTGAAGATTTGTGCAACAAGTACTTTACACCTCATTTAACGCACGAACCACTAGCATTGAAACTTCATTTGTTAGCTTGTTGTGTACGCCAAGCTGGAGAACACTATGATAAAGGGTTAAAATCTGCAGCTAATCAAGACCGCACATCACCACCACTGAAGCAGTTGATCAAGAAGTTCTTGACTGGTACGGATCCTTATGGCTTACCAGCAGGTGAGTATTTTTGAGCTCATGTATTCAAAACATTTAAAACAGGTCAAGAGCAGTTTTTGCGTCAATCCGTGACTTCATTCCCTCATCATCAGTCCACTTTATGGAGACATGTTGTTCAACAAATATCCCCACTAGTCGTTGGTGGTATCCCAACAGCGTTTTCCATTCTCACTAAAGCAGTCAATGGTTCCATTATGTATAACGCTCGTCCTTTTGAACTTTGTGCAACTTGTGGAGATGGCCCTGAGCTTGGAAAACCAGAAAAATTAAGAACGTGTCAACAGTGCAAAATTATTTCTTACTGTTCAGTTTCCTGTCAGCGTCTACATTGGTTCACACATAAGAAATATTGTCCCATCCTAAAAGGTAAGTACTCACTACGCAAACTGTATTTATTTTACAGTTAGTTGACAATTTCCTAAGCTGTTTGTTCAATGGCTTCTGTTTCGTACAACCTCTTATCGTAAATTTTTTTGATAAGCAAGAGAGAGATTATACAAGCCTAGTTCATAGTACTCAAAATACATGCAAACTTAGCAGACACATTGAGTAATTACCTGTTAGATGGATATGAAAGCTTACCACTCGTTGTGTAGTTATGAAAAGTAAAATTCCTACCTTTCACTGTCAATTGACATTTATGAAAATACGTGCAGTAAGCAAAAACTATCGTATGTGATTCAGTATTATGGTTCATAACAAATAGAAATAAGAATAGTAGAAATTCAGTGCATAAATTAATTTTATTCAATATCTACAGTTTCCGCAAAAATTATACTAGTTCATAGTAACATCAAACACTCTTACTATTACAAATATATTAATAACACTGGTATGCAGTTTTTGTCCAGCTTATTTCTGTAAAATCAGTTAATAACAAGTAATTTTTTGCTACCAACTCATTAATATTTATTACTAAAATCTATCTAGCAATAAAATATCACCTTGTCATGTTAATTATTTTCACAGAACACAAAAATGAATTTGAAGTGACGAAGTAAGAGAAGTCGAAGGGGAAGAAAGAAACGTATAGTTAGCTGTGATATGTTTGTTAACTGAACGTTAGGTTCTTGTTGCATTTTGTACTACATCGTAGGTTCATTTTTGATGCTTATTATAAAACATTGTTACAAATAAATATGTTCAAATACAATAGTTTTATATTTACGTATAAACTCCGCACACTGCCAATAACCTCAGTATAAGTCTTTTTATAGCCTACTAAGGAATACGTTAACGTAAGCAGAATTTATGATTACCACAATGATTTGATGTAAGTCATAAATGTTGATTGACTCATCAGCTACTGAGATCCTTTGTTGTTTCACTTCACATATTTCTTTGAAAATCTAAAAAAGATGAATATGACTAGAGTTTAGACAGTGATATGTACACTAAAGCGCGGTTAATAAAGCCTTTCAAAATCTCAAGGCAAATTATATTTCCTCTGCCATCAATAACTTAATGACAATAATAGCTTTATTCTAAATGAGATTTATGGTACAGTATAGAATTCTCAACATGTATTAGTTCAACAAATTCATTCCCTGTACAATATCTCTAAGCGAAATAATCATTTCATCTGAATAATGTTAAAAATAGCGGTAATAAAAGCCACCTAGTATTACATTATCATCTGGTTTGGACTGGTGAATGAATAGAATATCTAGCGTAATGTTGGTGGTGGAATGTGTATTCATCAGCCAGTACCAACATTTGCAATTCGACACAGTTATCCAAAGAATGTATTTTTTTCGTATTTATAAGCCCATTTCTTACCGGCGTATCGTTTATTCTTTGTTTTGCTGTTAGCTTCAAAAACGGCAGTTTGAAACCGTCTTTAAAGTGTGCAAGAGTGCTTGACGCATTTAAGAGACCTATTTACAAAATTAAAAGGGATGGATTTGGTGAAATAAATCTTTTGGGAAAATTTTCGGTAGCCCAAAGTTTAAGCAGTTCTAGTGATGACAGTGATACAATCTCTCCAAATGTCAGGTGGTTAGTGTTAGCTTAAGACGCGAATAAGACCTATGTAGATTGCTTCAGTCCTATGACTCTTCGTCTTTTAGATGACTATTGTAGAGAGTGTATCAGGTGTGATCCATCTCGACTTATGCTTTTCTTATGATCTTTCTTGGTTTTTTCATATCTTGCTGATTTCCAGGAAAATCCTTCGCTTGAGCTTTTATTTGAGAAAACTCAGACTGTCTGGTATAACAGCCTCTACACTAAAGTTTCATTAATTCATGTATTTTGCCTATGCTCACTTATTGTTCCCCCTTACTCTTTCTTGGACTCTAGAAAAAAGACTTCGCTGTTTTGTATAGGGTTTTGAAGGCTGATAAGTGCAACACCTAGATTCTTGAAGTCGGATGGCTGGAAATATTTTATCTGATGACAAACATCTTTTGCATTCGCACCTCTCTCTATGTCTGTCGTCTAGGAAGACAAGAAGCAAATATGTTAAACTGTATGTACGCACAACTACATACAAAAATTCAACCACACCTTATTTAGCTAGTGTATTGTATGAAAAAAATCTTGTTAGACAGTCCTATCAACCAACTTTGTAACAGGGAACAGTTAACATGAACCTGGAGTCAGTAGACATTTTAAGAATCCTGTCATTGCTTATTATGTATTGTTAAACAGCACCACTGTTTATATATATTAGGAAAATGTCGTATAACGAGTAAGCTTATGCTGAGAAACCTACTGTAAACAAAATTATGGTTCGGAATAAAGCAAATATTAACATGATTATTGAAAAAATAATAGGTAAAAGTAGAATTCATCTAATATAAGACAAACCTACTTTACAAAATGATGGATCCATCAGAGCATATAGGTTAAGAGTATTCCGCCGCTACATCCATTAGAAATCTACAACAATCTAGTCACTGACAGCATATCCCAAGTTTATGTAAGCAAAAGAGAATTAGTAATAATGAACCTTATTCGGCAAAGCTATATGGGCTAGGCTATGAGCCACACTTAATGCGTAAGGGCTTACGATATCACGCAGTTGTCCACGGAATGTGGAGCGGGATTTTAGTCTTCGAACTGCTTTTTGGAAGCTGAGTGCCTAAGTCAGTGAGATACACCTTTAGAAAATGAACACGAAGTCCCAAAACTACATATTTCAGTACGTTTAAATAAGTGCTTCCTGAAAGGAAGAAGGATTTGTCGAGGTATGAGGACTCAAAAATCAAAAATAAAGAAGGATATCAAGGGATGAAAACAAATATTTAGAATAATTACCGTTTATCGTAAAAATACGTTACTTTAAAATAGTACATACCTTTTGTAGTCTGAACCGTGTTCTATATCATCGGAATTTGTGGGCGGTCTTGCTTCTTTCCCATAATTTAGCATTTTTTGTTTGTTCAATAACTTTCTCTCAGTTGATTCAATCTCCTTTAACCTAGCCTCAATCTCGCGCTTCCGAGTTAACCGATCCAAAGTGAAATCCAGAGAATAAGAGTTCACAGTATCTAAAAAACCACATAAGAGATAGTATGATCAGAATATTAATCAGTTAACAAAAAATCGAGTTAGTTGTGATATTTCATTTCTTACCCGTTTCATGAGCTTTATTATGAGGGCGTGAATGAGCGTATTGTGAATTCCCTGTTGGGTCTGGCGTCAAACGCTCAGAGGTTGACGACAGTGAATTGTTGCTGTGTGAGAACATCGAAGAAGATCTGCTAGAATGTTCCTCCGGTGAATGCGATTCATTCCTGAACCATTCACATGATGATGCTACCGTAGGCAAGCTTCTACGCTTCGCGTCTTTGTCTGACCCTAAATGACAATAGAATGAGAATAAACCATCAAAATCGTAAGCTACTATGGTGCAGCAAGCAGTTTCAAAACCAACCCTTCAACCAAATTTGTAAATCGAAAGATATTTACATACTGAAACTTGCGAAAATAATCGTGAAAAGGCATAAAGTGAGGTGATAAAGATGTTTACACATCCCGAATCAGCATTCACTTCGATGCACGGTTCTAGCCAAAGTGAGACTGTCTTACTGGGGTCTTTGAGAAGATAGGGAAGCTATGGTTTATTGGTTTAAGCAGTTGACTTTGAATCAGGAGGCGATGCATTTGAACCCCGCCCACTTACTTTTTTGTAAAGTTATTTTTATTTGCTAGTCTAAGAAATTAAGAATAGAAAAGGAACATCGAACAGGCAGATTACCTTTATATATCTAGTTGAGTTTAAGTATTTTTTTGGATCACTATTTACGCTTTGGTTGCAGTAAGTGATATACACGTTTGGTAATTTATTACTGAAATGAACCTATCTGTTCGTTCGTGAAGCAAATGTAAGACGGGGATGTGTGTTGTAATGAATCGTATTCTATTTTCGTATAGCAGATATCTAAATCCAAAGAATACTGTGTAAGCAGTTTTTGTTTTAGAATGGACAAATACAATTTTCGAACACTGAAAATGGCTAAAAAACGTAGGGCCTTCCAGTAAACATCAGTTTCCATTGTCATTATAACCTAAATTGTTTTTATTTAGGTAACAAACGCTTTACTACTTGAGTGATACTGATTGAATACATTCAAAGGTACTATCTAATTGCTTAATTCTTGGTAGGTGGGAGGTAAGCTAGAACAAATTCCAATCCATCCGTTGAAAGTTAGGTTTCCGATCAACAGCTATTTAAGAGCATCCAATAATTGACATGTATTAGGTCACTAGAAATTCTGCAGGCAAAACAGTTTATGCAATCAGCCATGCATACAGAAAGGAACTTTTCTAAAGAACCTTAATTGATTTTCGTGCCGAAACTGTTTCTATTTGCTCCCAGAAATTCAACAAAAAATTGTATGCTTATATCTCATTCACAACTTGTTTTTCAATCATTAACACAACCGCATAATTACATATTTGATTTGGAATATTATCACATAGAGAAAACCTTATAGTTTCCTTCCTGAAGTTTGCGCTAATAATGCTGGCTAGAATGACAACGAAAGCTTTACAACTAAACACTCCAGTTTAGAGAACATAACACCGCAAGTATCATGTAATTCATCTAGGATGTTTTTCTCAAATATCATCATTCGACCGCTCACTACTTACTATTTGATTTCTTCTAGGAACAGAGATATTTCCCAACATTTTGTATCTAGTATTTAATATGTGGCTAGTTGGTCTAAACATTTAGTTCTCAAATGAAGGATCCTGGATTCAAACTCTGCTTCGCCTACTACAGGCCGGGAAACCAGGTTCTGTTATAGGTTTCGATACAATCAGTGAGACTCAGTCTAGTACATGAGTCAAGTTGCATACTTTATTTTATCAAATAAATGACATGGATTGCTATAAAATTCTTGGAAGAATGACAAGTAGCTGTCATCTATACTATCCCTTGTCGTGATACGAATAAAATTTAAGGACAAGCACATATAAATCTATTTTGAAGTCTCGTAGGTGATAGGTCAACATTTTCGTGGGGTCACTTTTCAAACGCAGGGCATTTCGCGGGGAAACGTGGAGCAGAATACCAGGGTTAAAAACTCGGGGAAATGCTGCACAATCCCGCGTTTTGCCTCGTATTTTCCTTGCATACATACCCCCTTGTTTTGCCCGCGTAAATTTTGATTGGGTAATATGCAGAAGCTTGAAAAGTAAAGGATCTTAGATACAACTAAGCTGTCTAAGAATATATCTGCTGCTACTACTACATGAACCTACTAGAGCTAGAAATGCGAGTAATCAAGTTTGGGTTCTGGTCTAAAATCTGAATTGAAAGTATCTGTTTACGTGCTTTTTTATTTGAATAGTCGAACGTTATTAAGGTCTGTGATAACCTGAATTATCCACGTAAGATAACTGTTCATATGATTTACAAATCATTAAGCTACGAGATATACACCAAACGACATAGAATGGTTAGAAGAAAGTTAGCGTAGTATATCTTTCCTCATTTTATGTGTATTGCATCTCTACCTCAAGCTTGAAGAACAAACAATCCTGACAGTTTATTGCCCTCTATTTTGTAGAGATGAAGTAAATTATTAGGACCAGCTCGTGCATTATCAGTAAAACTATGCATCGAAGGACTTTTAACGGATAAAGAACTTACACACCTCGCAATAGTCTTTTGCAGCATGATCATCCATGATTTGGTCTACTCAATCATGTTTTAAGGTTCTCCCGATAGACGGAAACAATATTTCTCGTGCTTACAATAAAGTTATTTCGATAAGACTGACTAGTTTCCCTTTTTGTTGCAAAAGTTTGAATTCTCTACATGACTTTTTTTGAAACGTAGAACACAGACTTTCAAGAGTATGAAGATTTTGATAAGGACTGTAACTATTCAGTTTTCTGTGTAAAAGCCAAATGCCTGGTTAGATCATAAAAAACTCACGATGGTTAGACACATAAATAGGCATATTAAATGAATATAAATGCGAAAAAAATATGAGCATGTTTTTCATATATGCTGTAAATACGTACGGAGTCTGGAGATGCACGGAACCGGCTAGATACAAGATTGCTGGACGAATATTCAGATTTCATACGACGATCGATAGAAACATTAGGACTTCTCGTGCAGTGCGAATGTCTCCGTGTATCTGAAAGATGATGTGCAGATTGAGTTGTTGGACTGTGTGGCAGATGTTCTATTGAAAAAACAAAACACAAAAACTTACTGTCTACGATTGCTACTTGATAGATACGTTCTAATACATAGGTTATAACTTAACACCCATATCTCTTCGGTTCACTGGTTTCTCATCGTACTCTGTATAACAATAACGATGATACCGCATCCAGAACGAAAGTAGACAAGTACCACAGAATTACTTTTTAATGCAGTTGTTTCAATACTTACCGCATTGTTATATATATATATATATATATATATATATATATATATATATATATATATATATATATATATATAATATATATATAAAATCAGCAGAAGAGAATAATTGACATGGATATGATCGAAATTTTGGTGACTTCCAAAAGCTGAAACAGCACTACCATAAATATCTCAGAAATCGATGAATATCTTCTAGTAGGCGAAACTGAGTCAACTCACTTGTAATACATTTTCTGAGATTACTTGTAAAACATAATACCGCCTCATTTTCGTCTTCATATACTTTATTACATCCCGTTCTCCTCGACATTTCTATCACATTATGTATTCCTCACTAATACTTGGCACAGTATGGGCACTAGAGAAACATTATTTGGTAATCCCTCATTATGTAAGATAAATAATTGCGATTGAACATACTACGAATTTGGAGTTGTGTATTTGTAACTACAGCTTACTAAGTAAATTTATCGACTTGTGTTCTCTAAACTTCCGGTTCTCTGATATTTTCACATATAATTTTCCAACACATTCAATCAAACGTGTAAATACATGCAGGCTTAATTACAACCTTCGTTCCTATTTAGTTTGATGGTCAAAGCAGGCACTACAGTGTAGAGCAAAAGTTCTTTACAATCATCAAAACAAATATAACGATATGATTTGTATATCAGTCTTTTTGAGTAGTAGTAGTTTGATGGATTATGCGACTTTATTTGCCCTAGATATTTAGTTGACTGAATTAAATTTAGGTATTTTTAAACATTACCGTCTATGATTCACTGACTTATCGAGCGCAGTCTTGGAAACTCCTACGGATTATTCATGTGTAAACTACAATACAGTTCTAACAGTATACGAAATATACTTAGCTGGTAAAATGTAAACTACTGTTTATAGTGTGAAGTATGAAACTGTACAATAACAGAGATGAAACTCTGCAGTGAGGTAGCACAAAGAGGTATAATTTAAAATAAATCTTATCTGTGTAGATGATATTCATGTTATGAAACCAAGGTACATATTAGAGTTAAATTGTATGGAGTTTCTCACTTTTTAAAAAAGCAGTTCGCGGTCTATTTGTTAGAGTGCAGGAATTCATCTCTTTCTGAGAACTCATCTCAACAGTTCTTGGACGCCAGTCATCACGATCTATATGGGTTGACTCATAGAAATTACTGTTAGATGATAAAGGTGAAGTGGATGACCGTGAATATTTAGTATGGTAGTAATTTTTGTCCCTTGTCAATGATTTTGTTAAATTCGATTTGGTAAAATCAGACTGATGTTCGCAAGACAATTTCCTTTCAGTACTAGTGTTATGGTTTAAACCAGGATTTTCTGGATTATATTCCAAAGTAGATCGTGTAAATTTCTGATGCTTACGATCATTGTATGTACTAGATGAGTTTGAATGTGCAAGATCATGGAAACTATGAACGTCATTTTGTAGAGGCGAGTTCCGGTCATAAGAATGAGGGCCTGCATGTGGCGACCTCGAGGATGAACAGTGATCGGAATACTTTATTCGGTTTTCGAATGAAGATAGTGATTTGGAATTCGTATATTTTTCCTCATCTTCAGAGACATCATCCAACATTAAATTGGCATTATGCCAAGCAGTTTGATTAGGCGGATAATGTGAACTTTTTTCACTTATGCTTTCATTTACTTTTGATATTTCACGCTCTTCAAAACATTCCAAATTTCTACATGAAGGAGATACAGTATTTTGATCAACCGGACTGTTAGAATTTAGCGATTCTGCGAAAAATAGAGGGCAAAGCAGTACAAAATAAGATATTCTAAGAAAACATCATTCATGAAATTCGTGGTCGAATATACGACCAAGAATGAAGATAGTTTAGAAATAAAACAAGACATCCAGTCACCACGAAAAAATATACATACCTACGTGAATCTGAAAATAAACTTAAATTATAAATGTAAGTTTAGATTATTATCAGCAATACCATCTCCATGTGGGCGGGGTGGGGGAGGTTAAAGAATAATTATTGATTGTCTAAATTGGTAGTTGTTGGGACCCAGATCCGAACCTGTAACCTAAAAAGGGAGATACGATGATCTTACTACAGCAGCAACTCAAGGGAGACAGTCATGTGTAAGTATGGAAGTTCATGTGAGGAGGGATTACCTACATTCTGATACTATTAGTAAATAAACCCTGGAAAACAGGACTAATTATCGTTTCTCCATTTTGCTAAACAAAGACCCTGTTAAGAAAGAAAAACCTGCAAGCGACATTCAGTAACAATACTAAGCGTTTCAAAGTCACAAAGAGAAAGCATAACGTCAAAGTTGACTCAAGTAGAAGACAATAGATATCCTAAGTGAACATCACTTTAGCGAAGTAGTCTGTGATGGGCTTTGATATCACAGTGCTTCAGTAATATGTTTTAAGTGATACAACACCCCTACTATTCATTTCTACGACGAACTTACACAAAACCCTTTGATTATCGAAGTCATATGGCGAATTGAAAACAAGGAATATCGTTACTTTTGGGTGGTCGATGTTCGAGGGTCGAATGGATGAAGATGATACCATCAGTAAGCCCACAATAAGAGTTGAAACGTACCTTTATTCTCACATTTTCCGCTATAGACTGGGACTGAAATCAACCTAAAAGCAACCAAATGGTGATCCTTCATCACCGTCTTCGAGTACTTCTAATCGATCTTAAACGTCTCTAATTAACTACAAAAGATATGAGACCCTACGTTAATATCCCAATGACTAAAGACCAACTAGTTTTGGGCTGAATCATTTTTCACTGTTTTAATTATTGTCCCAGTTATCTACCTGGTCAGTGAATCATGTCTCTTTTTCAGCAATAGTTTAGGTGACTACCTAGTTTTCATACTGGTTTCTTGAATGAGTCTAAATGATCATTTACCATCACAACTAGCTTCTTTATCCCTAGCTTTCTCCACTCAGTACTAGTGACGACTACTATGCAGACTGTCGTTCATTCCATATTCTAATCTCTTCTACTGATCACTATGCTTAAAGCTGGTTGTAAGGAGCGCTTGTGCTGTGTACCTTTCAAAGGTCCCAGTATTTTTTCAGATGGATATGATATTTAGATGAGTTAATACTAATTTATTAGTTATTCCTTTATACAATACAGTGAATTATGCAAAGTTCTTGTAAATACACCCGTCTTTGCATTTGTAACTATTTATCTTAAATGATGGGATTATTTATTTGGTTTCAGTTTTCCTCGGGGTACCAAACTACGACTGCGATGCATGTTTTCCCTAAGCGAATTTGTGATTAAGAGCTTCGACAAATGAGTGTGAATATTAATCCCTGCTTTGAGTCCATAACAAAAGTCTCCGTGCATGCATTATAACGAACCAAATTTTGTAGATGCACTGGATCTTTCAAACTTCTGAAGGCCAATGAGTCTTTACTTTTGTCTTATTGCAAAGTGAAGACGATACAAGGTTATCTTAGCACAAGAGAAGCTGGTATAATCTGTTAACCATCTAGTCAGTTCATTTATTAAAAAAACTACTGACATTTCAATCCTCGAGTTCAAGAAAGCCAAAGTTCAGGCAAAATTTTTAAAAAAAGGCGGCAATTCTTCAGTTATACATTTCAGAGAAAAGTCAGTGATATAGCCCACGTACGTATACTTTTGTATACCCTAGTGGCCACCAGATTACTATTTAGCAACTAACATTTGCTAGAACACAGTTGCAAACACCAATCACATTCTTCGACTCAACAAGTTGAATTTGTGTTAGTGCCACAAAGACACTCATATGATAAGCATAGGTTCCCTTATTGCTTCTTAATATTCGTCAATAAGATATCTAAAAGTATGACATACTGAGATGATGTGAACTGATTAATTGTCCTAATGTGGTCACAGAACACATCAACTTGTCTCCTGTCTAAACCACTTACAATTGAGATTTAAAAAAGAGTCCTGACAGATTTACTGAGGCGATCATTAACAACAGCCTAAAAACAGACAATACTTTTAACATTTTCTATGACATTGACAAAGCTAGTGGTTTTAAAATATTCTGCTAATCAAACGATTTGCCGTGTTAAGAATGTATTCTGAATAGATTTAGTTGCAAATAACTACACTTGGTTGTAATTAAATGATACTAAATATTATACAGCAGGTTTTCTCTGGCAATTGTATTTTTAAAGAAAAGTGCCAGGAAGATTTCGGTAGGTCATCCTTTTTAGTATTGAAACTGTAACCATTGGTTATGCTGCACTATTCGATTGGACAGTGCACAAGTTTGTCGGTTGAGAACCAAACAAGAAATTCGCTATCTCCCCCAGGAGTATCTTTTGAAGTGCTAAGAAGTGAATCAAGCAGAAATTACAACTAGCCAGCTTAAAGATTATAAACCACATTACTCTAATGCGTATGCCTCAGAAGCACAAAATACATCCACCACCTATGATTCAAGAGCATTGGCGTTCAAAATGGCAAAGGATAAGGAAAATGTATGCTCAAACACTCTACACTACTGTTTCAGGAAAGATAATATGCTACTTCGTGAGCTCTGATCACAAATACGGGTCATGGAGCTAGAATAGTTAAGAAGATTTGAGTTAGTAGCAGAAAAAGATAGTGAATTCATAAGACAACGATGAGAACACCTGATAATAATGAGAAGAGAGTTGAATGATGTTAACGTTGAACAAGTGACGGATATCTATCTTATGGTTGTCCATACGGTCAGTGATTTGTTTTTAAAGTACTGTAGAGACCATAGAAAATCAGCTAATTAAGTATTGATCTTATATAACCTTTACTGACAGCTAAAACGTATAGTCGCTGGAGTCATCACCGTAAAATGCATCCCTTCTTTTACAGATTATTACAACTAGCAGTATGGTCTTGTCTTGAGACTATGAACTACTTTATGGTATCCTTCATTGTGAAGTTAACTGCAACTTCGGTGTTATCGCTCTCCAACAATACTTCTGGTGCTTTAGGAAGGAACGTAACCAATATGACCTAGAAAGGTCATTATAATAAGTAAGCTCTACAAGCAGATTTCCCCGCTTCTCCCCTCCTACTTTAGTAAAACTTTGAAATTCTGCCTAAATGTTTGCACACTTTGCTTGTCGTTTACATTATTGTTAATCTTACTATCTTAGTACCACAACCATTTCATCTATGCACCATTTTATGATGAAATATACACTCTATTTCTACTCTTCTAGTAAATTTATGTAATTCCCATACAATGCAACCTTGAACTTTACCATTACTTTTCCTCCCTCAAGCTGTATACACTTACTGTGACTAATTATCGATCGCTTGATACTTCCAGTTGACATTCAACTTATCACCGCAATTGAGATACATATATAAATCACAATATCATCCAAAAAATTCAGTCAATTTAATAATAATTTTGCATCCACTCTAAAATGCATTCGCTGTAAATTTGACTTAATAACAGTAGAAACTGACGAGAAGTTACTGAAAGAATATTCTTCCTTCATTTTTGACTTTTAATATATGAAATAGGAATCCTTACGTGCATTCGATTTTATTCTGTTGGTTTAACAACATCAATTATTCACCAAGTGAAAAGAATTATCCGAGTATTATATGTTAAAAAATGTTTGCTATCGAAAACACCTAATTTTAGGCGTCTAATAAGCACTTAATGTGATTCTATGGTTATGTCTACTCCTAGCCTTCTTACTGTTTAAGTATAGCCAGACAACACCCATCAATTTCATTACCCTACCTTAAAGGGTGCACTCATAAGAACAAGTAATTTGCGAAACTGTTAATGGATAGTGAATGTTTCGTAGAGGATGTGGTAGCATACTTCTTCAAGCGCAGTATTTGTGACATACGAAACACATACCTCAATAAACCTAAGAATGTTTTAATTTTACTGAAACTCACCGATATCCATGGGATCGTCACACTGTACTGATTCTTCAACCGTAACTTCAACGGGCTGTACTCGAATCTATAAAAAAGTGTCAATAGTAGATGTTGTTAGTGAAGCCAGTAGAAAAAACGAAAGTTCAACTAAATTTTAGTAATTACTAGTTACAACGTTGAATTACACGGAAATGACTAGTCACATGAGTACACATGCAGAAAAGTTCAAGTGAAAAAAATTCGCTTTTTTGAATATGTATATTTTTTTAATATATGTCGAATCAAGTAAAGGTCCCACTTTAGAAAAATCTGGTATTTTAAAAATGACTTTTCTGCAGTATTTCTAAAACAAGCATGCAGGACTGAAGAGTGGTTATTTACTTGATCTTACCAAAACAATATATCGAGTCTACGAAATTTACCTTACAAATGTCTAGCTCCCATGAATTCACTGAGTGCAAAGATAAAATTACGTTTTACAGCAGAAAACTCACATCCCGAATGTTTATCAGTTGATAGTAGTTTTTGACCTGTCTACCAAACGGATCTGTAAGAACACGACAGGGCTGTGACACCGACTCCATTTGTAGTCTCCACCTATACGGCCACCGACTAAAATCCGGACGATACAAACAATAATTTCTGCCTAAAGCTATCAATTTTTTTACATAAACGACAGTGCCAATATAATCACATTGACAGGAAACTTCAATGGCCAAGCAGGAAGTCGGGTCAGTTGGACAGGCATTTGAGGATGCCTATAAAATTCAATGTTGGCGAATAGGCAACAGTGATTACCTACCATTTTGTCCTTACATCCTCTTGTTCCCCGACAGCACCAACTTCAAACATAATGCCTGTTCAAATTAATCGCACAGTGAACATAAAATGATCACACTACTACAAGCTAACGACGAAGGACTCACTCTTTCCACACCACCTGCTCGGACTCCAATCATGTGTCTGCTCCCGTACGTGAGTATGTACCCTATTAAATGCAGGAGATAAACAACACCAAGGCTTATCTGTGATTAATAGGAAAACGGGAGCACCAAGTATGAATTTAAGAACGAGATAAGTATGTATCCGAATACGGAAGCAATATACATACTGAAGCTTGCTGTAATATACAGCCTAGTGTAGAACAGTGGTAGGCACGCTAAGTAACCTAAAACCAAGGATCAGAAAAGTGAATGGATTCATTCAGCCTACACAAAACCGATTGGTGCGAGAAGAGTCATTTCGGCTGACTGTAACAAAGATGAGCAGCAAAAACTGCTTCGATGTAAGCTGACCGTGAATATCTGTAATGACTGCAAGATGATAGTCATTGAGAGTGAGAACGATGGGTCCATGATAATCCCTCAGAACAAGCGACTTTAAAGTTGGGTGGAAAGCTTAAGAAAAGTTCATCTTGTGTACAGCCCCTTCAGTTGTCTAATATCCAAGTAGAAACTGAGTGGGATTTCGACAAAGGTTGTTTTAGACTTAAGACGATGCAAAGCAGCCATATATAACGACTTAGTTTGCACATTCCATAATGATGATGGTGGAGAAATATTATTTAGAGTAACTAACTTAAAAGCTAGCATATGGAAGTTAGAGGTAATCCCATCTGACTGATGTAGTTATTGACCAACCTAGTAAATAACAGTAATCTCTCTCAATGAAAAACATTGTGTCTAAGACCTCACTACCCATAGGATTTTGATATCTGATTTAAAATGGAGAACAAAAACCAGGCAGGTTTCAAACCCCAACAAGAGTGCAGTGATAAGGTCTGCAGTTCAAAACAGGTTTCGAGACACAGTTCTACTTGCTGGTACTCCATAATTACCATATTTCTTGATCAGAAGGCGATATTCGACCTCATTGTTAGCCAGGCTTTGTGCCTGTATGCAACTACAATATGATAGAGGTTCCGAAGGCGAAGTTGTACTGGTGATTGGAAGGTGTGACCACCGATGGCCAACAGTAAGATGCTGATGATGCCTCTCCTAAGGAAAGAGGGGTACTTCCGTGTCATCGGTATGGGTTTTCTAGCTGGATTTAACTTGATCAAAGCCAAATCCCAAACTTCCGAAAGACTTTTTCTCACCTGCCTCAAGCAGATGTTTCGTGGGGGGTCATGCACCACTGTTACTAAAACAGTTTTTTTACGTACCTCAAGAAGTGACCTTCCAAGGTGCGTGGAATCGGAAAGTGTCAACCACCTCCAGAATTTTATCAGTATTCAAGTTGCCGCAGATCTATATCCACTCCTTCTAATCTCTTATATCTCTTAATCAGTATGCCTACATTATCTTTAATTTCTTTTGGCTCTACACCTCTTGATAATAAAGCGAGTTTACAGAACAGCGTCACTGCTCTTTTGAAACTGCCATTCATACTACATATTGGAGCCTTTAATCTTCATACCTTCCGTCAAATTAGACAAGCTTTACTGTTCAAAACTCTGGCGTCTCGGATCGTGGATGTGATCTATGTTTGAGACAGGCATACAGGACTCGAGTGAGACTATTCACTTAAATTTACCTGGTCAATATGATGAATCTATTAAATTCACCCTTGTAGTTTCTGGAGATTCGATGGCTTGCCCTCTCAATTTCGCAGCTGTAGACATAGCATTGAGTCCTAAGACAGGAAGTGCACTGCTTAACTGGATCCAGGTCAGCAGTTGCTTATGCGTTGTTAAACTAAATCGTATAGTGAAGACTGGAAAAGGTTGTTAAATTCGCCAGTGTCTCTTTGTAATTCCTTTTTACACACCCACTAACTGCAGTTCAGATGAGTTCTATCGAAGATTGTATAGCCTCCTACTGAAAGCCAAACTTTCAGATGACTTTGGTGTAGCAGGTAATTTTAATGCAGAGATAGGTAGACTGCGTCAAGCAGAGGTCACTTTCGGAATCTCAGCCGAACAAAAGGATAACGGCGGTTCCCCGCTAAAATTGTGCTCAGACAACCACCTACTTCTAGAGGGCATAAACTTCAGACACAGTGACATTATCTGATGTGGTGTCCAACAACAAGGAGTTATTGCTAGACAGGTTCGGTGGAGGATTGCCGCTTCTTCTGGAGTATCTGCTTGGGTAGCGACCACGCGTTGGTTCGAGCAGGTATGTGCCTAGATGGACGTAGGAAATCCGTGGCAACAAGACCATTGAGAGTGCAGCTTGACAGTGAGAGCATTAAGGATCCTTTCAGTAACAAATTGGTTAGAGAGTTATCAGAACAGAACAACACATCCGAAAGAAGTCCGGAGCCATCTGTAGTGTGGTGTATAAACAACGTAGAAGGCTGTAGCTGACTCTTCAATCTAACGCTTTTGTATCACTTGAAGTGTGTTCATTGAGTACTATCCGTAAAAAATATCCATTCTTTGTAATCTTATTTACGTTTGTTATAGACGCGATCATGTAGGCTTTCTTGTCCTTATGTGATTATACGGGTAACTACGCCGCAGACATACACTAAGAAGATAAGTTAGTCTTGTAAGGTACGGACACTAATAAGATCCCGTCATCTGGACAGAGTGGCAACGTAAGAATATTTAGGACGCATTTCACACCACTCCCCAAATGTAAACTGTCGCTCCAGGACTGATCTTAGCGGCTGGCTTGTTCAACAATAGGGAGTGAAATTGTTCAGCACGTTGACCACTTCACTTACCTAGGAAGTTAAATTAGTCCTAGTGGGTCAGTGACCGACGAAATCTCTGCACAGATACATAAGGCTCGATTGGCCACCCCTAACTTACGCCAGTTACGATGCCGCTGTGATAACTGTTCGATCGCTAAGGACGCGGAGTACTGCGCTACAGTCCGCTCTGTCCTACCATATGGTTGCGAAACATGACAATTAAGGGTAGATGACATGAGGAGGCTCCAGACGTTTGATCACCGTTGCTTTCGTCGTAAAGGCCCTGTCGTGCTGTAACCACTTGAGTAATGCAGAGTTAAGTTAATTGATGAGGTTGTGAACCTTTATCAACTCAGATGGCTGCGATGCATGTTATACATGCATATACACCATTTGTTGACCCCAAGCTGTCTGTTACAGTACGTTCAGGCTAGAAAAGGGTGACAAATGGCCAGACTGAAGCATGGCATCAGTTCATGAAGTCCTTCACTGTTGGTCTGTGTCAAGTAAGGGAATGTAGACTCCGGTTGCATTTCGCGTGACAACTAAGATCAATAATTAGGAACTTTAGGTGACAGTTCAGAGATGATCTCAATGGTGCAGATGTATCCACATATCATCTTCATCTTAATGATCATGATAAATTTCAGTATCATCTCGTTCCACATTGCACTATTTTGTTAACTTTTTATCACTTTGAATATTTTCTGAGTTCTTTTCTATTACCTTGTTACCATGTGCTGATATGAGGTGTGACAGCATGGATCGTTAAGTGGCGCTGCCAAATCCCATGTCGATGCTGACGGTGACACGCAGTCACCTGATTCATGTCCCCGAATTCAACATTACAAACAGAAGATACGGACGTGGAAGATGAAGAACTAATAGGTAAGAGCAGTATTAAAATAGTAGAAAGCCCGAAGATGAGAGGCAAAACAACAAAATGCGATGTAAAGATTAGGATGAAGATATTTTACAGATGCATTTTCATTTAGAGTCTCCAGCCGTCGATTTCGATTGTCACGCAGATCCCAACCGTAAAGTCTATCTTCGCCTTAACAGCTCAAAACAACAGTCAGAGACTTCATAAGCTGACGCAGTGTTTTAGTCTGGCTATCTCCAACCTTGAATCAACCCAAAACGACTTCAGCTGGCATCGAATGTTGGGATAGACGGCGACTAGGCATACGTAACACATATCCCAGCCACCCGAGTCGATGACGGTTCAAAATCTCATCAACTGACCTCCCTTCCCTCCCCAAAACCCTACATCTCATGTATATTTTACTAGTAAGGTGGTTGCACGACAAACAGGAAATACTGGGAAGGTTATGGTAGTCGAATGCTTCAAGCCTTCTCATGTTTTCCACCATGCTTCACAGCAAGATAGTAGGACGGCGAACAGATGGGGAGTACACTTGGTGCTCAGTAGGCAATCAGATATGTCATCGGTACCACGCATACCAAACGTTGGTGACAGTCAATCGAACCTTCTGTATCTATCGGGCTCTTATGAACTAGGACTGACCAGATATTCCGAGTAAATGTAGTAGTGGATGTGGTCAACCACTTAACTGTCTGTTGTTAGACAGGGTAACAACGCAGCTCAGTCAACGGGGATCCATCAATTTTCCACTCATAATGTAACTAGGTAGTGGGAACTTCTTTACTCTCAGTATTGACCGACAATGACCTAGGTATCGCAGTAAGTCACTATTGGAAGCGGTATCCATGTCATCAACTAACTTGTTCAAAACAGTATTAGTGAAGAACAGATATCAATTGGAAAAGGGTTCATAAAGGCCCATAACCTTCAATCCTCAAATTAAAAATCGGAATATGTCATTAGTAAATGCACACAAAATGACAACTCACCTGACTTGAATCACACTGTGGTTTCGGTGAAATAACATGACTTCCTACAACCTGGATAGCTTGTACGGGTAATGGAGGTTGACTGCCAAAATGAACAAGTGGTTGGCAAAATACACCAGGAGGAACTATGTAGTTTCCATTCGGACCTACATATGCATTCATTGGGCAGGGGACACTTGGTTGAATAACTGGGTGTTGAACTGGAACTGTGGGGTAGGTATACGGAAATGGTGGTTGAACAGCTGGTGTCGCTGGGATAGCTACAGCATTCACTGCAGGACAGCCATAGTTTCTGTCGAATGTTTCGGTGACACATGGACCACCTTGGAGTTCAGAGAAAGCTGAGAGCCTTACATCATCACAACCTTGATTAAAGTTGTTGTTTATCATGAGAGAATCAGGTGTTAGACTAAAGTAATCACACACAATATTTTGAACTTGATTTCTGAACCCTTTAGGCATTTTCGCCCTTAGAGCCTGACATACAAGCCTGTCAACACCGCAAGACAACATTTTTGTTCGCTGAAGTTTCGTTCGCAGTTGTTCTCTTAACTTAAGCTTTTCAACACTGGGATCCCATGACTGACTTTGAAGAAATGAGGACACAAATGAGTTCACTTTCTTTTGAAGGATTTGATAGTCCATGTAGATATCTACATCTTCAAGACACTGCTTTCTAATTCTGTCAAACAAGCCCTGACTTTTGATTTGATCTACTATGTGCCTAGCCGTTTGAGATCGTTCAGCACACATTCTTCCGAGTGTACCGCCAAGGAAGGTTAAAGCGCTGCTATGCTCTAAATCCAACATCTAAAGTACAAGTAAATCAAACAGTTCAAACTTCGTGTTGTAGAGTTAGCAAATGGTAGGTCCCAGCATGCTGTTCAGTGGTCACGGGCCGTCAGGAGGTTGGAAGCACAGGACGTACCCTTCTGGAAGCCATGTTGAGCGTCACTGAGTGCCTGCTTGGTGGCCAGGTATTCTCTGATACGGTCGTCCATCACACTTTCCATTACTTTTGATATTACTGGTAGAAGTGTTATGAGTCTATAACAGTTGGGATTCTGTCTGTCTCCTCCTTTGAAGATGGGAGAAAGGATATCCCGTCTCCACTCTCGTGGGAGCTTTCGCCCATCCAAGAAGTGTTGGGAGAGGTTGCAAAGTGGGCCACATGGGTACTTGCACACTATTTCAACACAGATGGGAGAATGTCGTCGCACCCCGTGGATTTTCCAGCGCTTAACTTTAAAAGCTTGTCAGGAACAACAGCGCGAGTTATCTGTATTTCGTGTAACTCAGAGGCATCGGTAACTTTGGGGGCCGTTCGTGCAATTGGTATGCGCACTTTCTTGATGGAATGTTGAGCTGTGTGTCAAATGTGGTGCTCAGCATTTCAGCAATCTCCTGTCCAGAGAGGTTTTCTCCGTTCGGACCTTTTATGACACATGCTCTTTGGCTTGTCGACTTTCTTTTTGCCATGAATCGGTAAAGGTTTTTAGGGTTTACCTGAAGCCTTTCGGCGAGGTTGGAGTGGAACGACCTCCTATCTCCCCACACCCTTATGCTGCTTCGTTTCTGCAGAGTCATGTATGCGTCATGGTCGTCCTGTTCTCTGGAGAGTCTCCATGTGTGCCATGCCCTTCTCTTGGCTTTTAGAGGGCGCTCAGTGCCCCGTTTTATCCATGACGTTCGCTTTCTGGTTGTTGTTACCGCGAGAGGGACGTTTTGTGAGACGGCCGCCTTAATGATATCTTTTACTAGTTCCCAGTGCTGGTCGATCGACAAGGAACACCAATCCACTGGCCACGAAGCTGTTGAAAGGCTCTTGTTCATACCTTCGTAATTTGCCTTGTTGTAACATAGGTAAGGGCGAGGTCCCTCCCATGATAGCTCTTCACTAAATACCAGGTCGAACGTTACCGTAGCGTGATCGCTACTTCCAAGAGGGGTTTGTACCTGAACGTTTTCAACCAGAAAGGGATCAGTAGTCAGTAGGTAATCCAGTTAAGATGGTTTACCATCTGACCCCCAGCGGGTGTTTTCGCTGATTTTTTCCTGCAGTCCAGCCATTTGGATGGCGTTTAGCAGGTTACAGTCGAACTTCCGGCTCGGGGTAGTGCCACCTTGCTCTAGGCTGAGGGTTGGAGCGTTGAAGTCGCCAGCTATTAAAATCTGGTCGTACCTTATAGTTGACACTGTGGATATTGCTTGGAGTAGTTTTTGGTTGTGTTCCAGGTTGCTATTAGGGGACCTATAGATTCCTCCAACTAGGAATTTGGTGTTTGACCGTGAAGTGGCACCAGATAGAGTCTGGGAGCTCTGTCAGTGTGTGTTTGTTCACTTCTGAACCACTTGTTCACGTATATTGCAACCCCCCCCTGTTCTCTGTCTCTCCTGAACAGAATCATATCATCTATGTTAACTTCGGTGTCAATTATGTCTGGTGACAACCACGTTTTGTCAGGATCATGAGTTTCGGGGCGAGGTCGAGACAGAGGGATCGGAGCTCTGGCATTTTACTTCGGAGTCCTTTCACGTTGGTGTAGAGACACTTGGATGTGTTTCTCGTAACGTGAGATGTCTCTGAGTTAACTAGTGGCACTGGTTTGGATGTGGGGGTTTCTACTGACTGGCCAGTTCCAGTGGAACTGGCCCAGTTAAGTTTTTTCCCTCGTCGACTGGTGCATTCGGTGTTGAGTGGAGGTTTCTGGTCTGACTCTCAACATTTCGGTTTAGGGTTACGGTGGCCTGAGCACAGGGCGTAACTGCTGTCTGTTGTTGTCGCAGTGTTCTCGGTCTGCTTTCACAGCAGCGAACGTTACCGCTTATGGTGCTCTTAACTTTGTACCACGTCTCCAGCACTCTGGTGAGTACTTCTGGGGATACGAAGTTGCCAGCCATTAGTCTAGGTGAGGTCATGGTTATCAGATGCAGGGGGCGTGGTAGTCTGCGCAGCTGCAACCCCGCTCAGCTCCATCCGAGCCGATAACCACTCCTATTGTTTGACGTCGTGTGTGTACTTCTCACCTGGGGTACCGGTCACCATTTCAGGTATTCCATGTACGACCATGGTTATGGGTTTTAGTGGACCAGCTGCTTCTCGAGATGTCTTTCTTGACACCCATGATCGGTCAGGTCTGGCTCTAATGTTGGACGATCTGTTGATGACCAGGGCGTGTGACAGTAAGGGGAACTTTTCAGCGTCCCTAGTTGAGACTAGAGTCACTCTCATCGGCGGAGGCTTCCTTGCGGGTGAGTGGGTGCCTTTGTGTAGTCGACACAGTTTTGCCTCGAGAACGCCCAGACCTAGCGTGGCACAGAGGGAGTCCCACTGCTGCCTGTCAAACTTGTCCTTATGTTCCAGAAGGCTATCATCACAGACGGGAACGTTAAACAGAATGACAGAGCTAGGTCGGTCAGTGATGCCAATATTATTCTATCCTATAGATGCTTTTCACGGGTGCTTCGAGTTTTTTTCCACCCTGACTCATTCTCTATGTTGTCCACTGGTTGCTGTTTCTGATGTGACTGTATGGCTTGAGGTGGATGCAGTTGTCGTTGGTGTAGGCAGTGTTTTGTTCGGCTTAGAACCTCTCAGGTTTTCGGCCTTCAGTAGGCCATTGCCAAAATCATCTGGAGAGTGAATATCCTCTGTGACAGTGGTTTGGACGGATACCTGCTTTTTGATTACTGGAGATTTATCGGTTACTCTGAGTAAGCCTGAAGCTAGGTGCGGTCTCAGACGGCACTGTGGGCAAATGTACCAAAACCACGTGCACGGGTGACGCGTCATAAAGCTATAGTACTGATGTAGCACTTCTTTGTCACATCGGCAGTGCACCCATCTGTTGCACTCGAAGGCAGCATCACTTTTAGTGACAGTGAGAGCACATGTTTGGCAGTTGTCATCATGTCCATGCGGTTTTCCCAAACGTTTATGCCCTACTCTTTGACGTTTCTGCCTAGTGGTTCTCACTGGGGGATCGGGGTGGGCGCAGAGAGTAGCATGGGGCTCTCGGTTTACTTGACTGGGTAAAGTGACGTTTACAGTGCCGGGAGGACTGGCTGCACGGCTAACTTCAAGTGTTGCAAGCTGTGACCGACCGAGAGAGGTGGACTTGGGTGGTGCGTTCGTATCCTCAGTTGCTTTCTTTGCCACGCTTTGGCGTCTCGTAGCTCCAGCCCTAGTAACTACTGAGAATCAGGTGGTCAGTAACTGTGGCGAGATTGTACTCAAAGCATTTCTACCGCTTGCCTTTATCGGGGTCAGCACACTTTTACCACGCATATTAATATTAATAAACAGATGAAGATAAAAGGAGTAGAGCAATGAAAATGCACAGTAGTAAACAGAAGACTTTCGACCTTACCTTCAATTGTCTGTTCCTGCGACTCTGTCGAAGTTCAACAACTACCAAGTCCTGGACGTAGATGTTGGTGAGATATATTTTGCTGCAGATACAGCAATCTGAGCTATAACAGTTGGTCGAGACAGCTAGACCTACCACACAGTTGTCCGTTTGGAGCGTAATAGTGGTGATGAAGTAAGCAGTGATATTTTCTGCAGCAAAATTGTTGCAGAAACGTTGAATGAGGAGTTGAAAGCTCCTAATGGATAGTCGTAAATGTGGATTTTGTCGAGATGGATGGGGATGAGCTAAAACACGCCACTATTCAAGGAGCGCACGTGCGCTGAAGTCCATACCCACTCCCAGACTGCTCGCCATCCAATTCTACTCATACACCTCCCTCACAGACGTTCTACACGCATGGTATAATGTGAAAGATCTCACTGGTGGCTCAATAGGCAGTTGTGAAAGAAAGCTCAGACCCACGAGGCAAGAGGAGAGATGGCGACCACCGAGACCACTGGGATCAGTGGTTGTCACACGGGCACTGATCAGTGAGTCAGATACATCGAGTAAAGGAGTCCCTGCGGCCACAGTTCCTACCCAAGTTGAAACAAGCGCAAAAAGCCGGGGAGATGCCAGTCCTATGAGTACTGTACCGCTTCATGTCGAGGAGAAAGTCGACCAGTAAGGGAGCGAATCTTGTCACAGATCATGATGGGAGTTTACTAAGCTGTCCAAAGATTGCCAAGCTTTTGAGTTCACAATCCAGGCCCAACTTGGTACCGACACGAAATCCACACCGACTAGTTACGACACCGACCAGGTCGTGAATAACGAACACCCCTGTCACATCTCAATCACAGAGAAAAAAGTGTTCGGGAAACTATCTGGACTATCTAGGTACATGTTTCTTTTCTCAACCTAACCAAAGCATTTAACAGTGTCCCACCCACAGTCCTGCTTCACAGGATCATGTCAGTCGGTACAAGTGGACCCAACCCTCTTGGCTCAAGCAGTGCCTGAAAGGGAGGCAGGTCTGCATCAAAGAAAACAGAATAAGGTCTCACTGGAGACCATAGTTATCAGGAGTATCCCAAGGAGCAATCCTAGGACCACTTCTATTCCTCTCACTTGTCAACGATCGGCCGGACAAAATATCCTCACCCATCCTCCTCTTCGCTGACGACTTTAGAATTTGGAGGGTGGTAAGCGAAGAAGCTGGCTGTCCAGCACTACAAAAGGACTTGGAGCGACTTGAACTCTAGTTGTCGGAAAACGGCCTGAGCTTCAACCTGGAAAGTGCAAAGTAATTCACATCAGGAAATATGACGCAAGTACGACCGACTTCCAGTACATGTTGAGCAACGTGCAATCACCAGTGTCCATGAAGAAAGGTTTGGGACGAAACTTCTGCGACACCTTGAACACC